GGGTGTGAGAGCTTAGCCAGTTTTGACAATCTGATTCATTCATCTGTTAGTTTATGAAGACACCTTCTCTGGTAAAAGTTCCAGGTTTACTTGGTTCATTTCATAGTAGGGGGTACATGATAGTTAAGAACAACGCAGGTCAAATTCAAGAACATAGAAAAAATCCACTGCGAAAGGAATCTGGCTATCAAGAAAATGACATTAAAAGAATATACCCTGTTTGTTGCAACTAATTCTAAACCATTAACACTGATTGTACCTGAAGGAGCCTCCCATGATGTAGAGTGTGATCTCTTCCTTAAGTTACATCCATTGCCCTATTAATAAAAAAGGAGTGGGGAAAAAAAAAATATTACTTGGTTGAACCTGACAGTGCTTAAACAAACAAACAAAAGCTCACTGTATTGCTGAAATTAATATCACAGTAAGTTCTTAGAAAAAATACCACTTATTAAAATGTTATCTTTTTTCTTTCCTAACTAAAGCTTCACTATGACTGAATTGGTCAGGCTTGTGGGTTCCTCCTAATCTGTTGGATTTCTCATTACCACCACTCTCAGTTACTTTAAACCAGCATAACAACATTTGCCAGACTTTCAGAAATGAATTAGAGGTAGACATATCTACTGCCGCACTGGAAATGAAAAGATATCATCTGCCTTCCTGAGCACTTCAGTCAAGTGTAGGATACAGGGCAGATTCTCTACTACTTAAAAATTTAGAAGGCAAAGTAGTAAAAGTTTGATAAATTTTAGACAGCTAATTATCCACAGAACATTTTTCAACCTTATTTATTGCAGGTGTTTGTCTCTACTCGTGCTTTCAAGTTACAGAGCCCTTCTCTTTCCAGCGCTTGACTAGAACATCCTTTTTAATTAATTTACGGATTGTCTAATGCAAGATATTTGAACATTACACAAAGACCTACACGACCAGATATTAAGGGTCTCAAAAGAAAATAATCCAGCCAGTCAAACTGATACCAATTGCCAATTCCCTCTTTATTCAAATAAAAGGGACAAGGGAATAGCCAGTCAAACAAAAAAAAATGGTTACCACAAGAGTGACACATATTCCATCTAAATAAGTGGCATTCTGCACTGTGCTAAAGGCGGTGGACTCCTTCTGGAAGGAGTTCTACAACTGAAGACAACAACATTTGACAAGAAAAGTGCTTCTTCAAGGCAAGTCCTGACAAACTAAACAATAAATGCCTACTACATCCCAGGGTAATGGTCCACCAACTGCTCGGATGTCTAGGGCCTAAAGCAGACTCTCAGAGATCCACAGCATCCTGGAGTGCCAGGAAATCCATTCCAGGGTATCACACAATATTAGGGATCAAACACTACAGGAGTCACAAGATAAACCCAGAGATTCCAAATAGGAATTCATAGCATCAAAAATATTCTGACCTGTTATGGTTTTTCAAAGTTCTTTGCAACAGATAACTGCTCTATTATTTTTTCCATAGTCACAGAATCATATAAATTTAAAAAAATCAAGGGCTGGAAGGGACCTCCAAAGATAGAGTCCAACCCCCACCTGCTCAGGGCAGGAATACTGCTGAGATCAAGTGATTCCAGCAAGCTGTCTGTTCAGTCTCCTCTTGAAGACTTCCAAGGTTGGGAACTGCACCCCCTCCCTGGGAAGCCTAGTCCAGATTCCGTCAAGAAACAAGTGAAACCCAAGAGATGGCATTTTCCAAGGAAAAAGTTTTGAGTCTAAAAACCATAAGCTAGTGGTTCTTAACTTATGTCTCATCAGTAAGGGCCTCAAGATCAGTGCTTAGTGTCAAGCTATACTTGGTTTGTTAAAAGCAGAAAGATACACAAGCAGCTCAGAAGTTTAAGCTTGTGTTTCTGACTTACCTAAAAAGCACGTGTTAATCAGCTTAGCAATGTTTTACATAAAAAAAACAAACAAACAAACAAAAAAAACATGTGTGGAGGCATAACAGTTGCATCATAGCAGCTTATACCCATTTCCCTTGATGGGGACGTAATGATTACATCCGTTTATAAGCTTACTTACAAAGCAGGCAGTTCCAGTTAACATGCACTGTTCAGTTAAGTTAAAGAAAACAGGCCTGAAAGATGTTATGCATTTAAGCAGTTTAGTCTGTCCACCATGATGAAGTGTATAGAGTCCCTGATCCCCTGACACTCTTGCTAAGGCTTTATTTAGCAAAACCTTGATTCAGCAAGACCTCAGCTTCTACCAGCCTTCCCCTCCCTTCCCCTTAGTTTAATGAGGTCTCAGCTTCTAATGGAGCAATCTCTCCTTCCCTCTCCAGTCATGGAGGGTGATAAATATCAGGGTAAGATAGTACCAGGCTTGGTTAGGTTGCCAAAAATAATGACGGGGAGTTTTAAGGACCTCACAGATCACACCTGGAAGAAAAGTCAAGTGGCACAAGGCGGCAGGGAGGTTTGTCAGTAACCAGATAATTAACTGATATGCATAGCAAAGTCCTTAAATAGGGTACCCCTGTGTGGGGTTACCTGTGTGGTACCTGATGACATAATTGAATGATTATGTAAGAAAATCCAAATCAATTTGTATAGTCATTCAATGTACAACAAAAGGTATAAAAGATGCAACTATTCCATCATCCCTGTGCATTTTGCCTCTGCTATGCAATCTGATCAGCCAGCTGACAGCAATCCAGTTCTCTCTAGTTCTACTCGCTGTGGTCCCCTTAAGCTTAAGGGTACTGCATGTAGCAGAGGAGGAATGAATGAAGCCATACCAGAAGAGCTAGAGCCTACCTGACCACTAACAGTGTATCAGTTTGTTAAGCAAAGACAACTGGAACTGGCATTGTGTTATGCAATTACATGAATTACTGACTTACACACCAGGCATGCAAGTGGAGTGCACTATAAGTTACATTTGTTCTGTAAATGAGTCTATTTAATTTCCCATTCAATGTCATCAAGGGCCATGCCCAACTCATCTCCAGACATACCTGATTTGATACGCTTGTTCCGGAGAGTGCCTTTACTGGGGTGGAGGGATGCTGCTTAGCTCGTTCCATTCTTTGTTTCTTCTGCTCTCTTTCTCTGCTGTAAGAGTCCAAGAATAACCTAAATTGAGAATTATCAGAGGTGCGCTGCTGCATTGGGGAATGGCCTGCTCTTACATTCCACGAAGTACCATTCATGTTACCAGTACTTCTGGTGCTGTCCTTCAGAGCATCAGTTTCTGGTGTCAAAACCCATTTGTTGGAGCCTGAACTGGCCTTCCCTAGATCCACAGAATCAGTCCTCCAATCTCTACTATTGCCAGAAGACAACGGCATTCTTGGTAACACTGGACCTCTCTCACTTTTCCCCAGGTCATGCTTAACATCCTTTTGCTTTTTGGTTCTAGAAGAATTGAGAGACCCTGGAGGTATCAAGAGTTTTCGACCCACAACCTTCGGATATTCAGTGCTCCGCACAGTGCATGATCTACTGTTTTCTAAAGTGGCTGGATTGTCCTTTTTTTCTTTCTTAGCTCCTCTCAAAAAGGCATCCAGCACTGGACTCTTGGTTGGTGTCTGGACTGGCATCTTTTTCCTTCTACCTTTCTCTGGAGAGGATATTGCCTTTTCAGATCGTTCTGCATGTATGACTGACAGCCCAACCTCTCCATTTTTTACATTTCTTCTCTCTGAGGAGAAAAACACAACTGTCTTCATAAAAACATTAAAAAGATACAAAACATAGAAGTTAGTCTTTGTACAATTAAGATACCAAAAGAAGTGGGAAAATTAGACAAAAGTATAAAAACCTGAGCCAAAGACACCTCCTCTTCTCAAACAAAATGAATGTAACTATATCATTTGGAGATTACTTACACATGATAAAATTATAACAATATAGTAAGTATAACCTATGCTGTAATGGAGTTTCCCCTGATTAAGCTAGGTTTTGGATGGTATAAATATTTTTTTAACTAGCCATTATTTCCCTACCAAAATGGATCCAGTGGTACTTTTAATTTATTTGTTCATCATCACTGTCTACTATGTCTGTTTATGTGACCAGGATCTACTACAGATTATAACTATGTTTAACTGGATTTTATTGTATTCCTGAATACTTTAAGAAAACTCACATATTTTACTTACCTTGTTTTGAAGCTGGTTTGAAGTAGTCTGTAACAGATTGGTTTCTGAAAAGAAAACAGAAATATTAAGAAGTATTTTATGGTGGAATATCAGTAACATGCTAAAGAACATTAACAAAAGAAGCATTTAAACAGCATTTTAAATTTTTTTTAATATTCCAATATTGTACAGGCTAACAAGTCTCTCTAAAAAAGAGCTATGGATGGTAGAACGCCTCTTCCTACTCAGGATGATGACAGAAACAAAAAAAAATGGCCACGTAGAGCTCTTTAAATGAAGGCTGATGGTTTCAAAGTTAGCTTTGGGGTTTAACCACAGATCTTCTATAAGTTTCCATGGAGCTTGTGTGGCAAAATGTCCAATCACCAGTATATTTTGAACCAGTCTTGTTGACCAAACTTCATACACATGCACAGCTATGACTTGCATTATGGCACTCTCTCTTTTCCAGCCACATACTCGCATCCCCACAAAACACAGCTGCTAAAACGATCCTCCTCATCCATCAGTTGCTTCATGACCCTTTTCAGATCCTTCCAACATACCCCTCTTCTTCCACCACAGCCATTTCAAGCTTCCACCCTAATCTTCAAGCCTCTCAATTCTGCCATTTCTACTGAGTGCATCCTCACTTCTGCTATCTTGAGTTCACTCCCCTTTTGTTATTCCTCTGTGTTCAGCCTACCATGAATGAAAAACAGCCCCAAAACAAAAGCAACACTTGCTGTAGCCCAGAGTCCATACATGCTGTCCTCCTCCAAGTCTGTTTGAACTGCAGTGCAGCTGCAATGCTTACAAGTGAGCCAATGCTTAACAAACTGGCTGTGGGAAAGATTAATGTGGTTTTCATATTTATTTTCTTTGAATTGTATTGTTAAATACAAGTACACAGACCTTTCATAGGTTTCCTTATGTCCCTTTTACTTCACATACTGCTTATCTGGTTATACTACAGATTGTTTTCAAGACATGCCACATTCACCCCTATCATGATTGGGACCTTTTCATAAGAGCCTAATATAAATAAGGGACTTCAATTGAGTTGATTCAACAGAAAGGCTTTATGAACTTGGCACCTTAAAAAGCCTCAAGCCCCTCAACTGCACTTTTTGGGCAACAGCTTGTACAAACACATGGCTCTTGGCAAGTCCTTTCCTTCCCTTTGTCAAGGGGAAACACTGATTCTATCAGAGAAAGACAGAACGTAAGGTTGAGTTGTGGCCCTTCACTTAAGATACCTTTGCCATGTCACCAGCCCAAAGCTATTTAAAATTGGTAACTTTTAGCCCATGGTCACACAGCTGAGTTCAAAATGGAAAGGGAAAACAAAAGCTTTAAAGACAAGTCAACACATTGGCTTCCATTCACTTTTTTTATTGCTCTCAATGCAGACTACTCAGCACAAGTGTTATATGCTCCCTGACAGATGACAAACTGCCAAATACTACATGCATTGAAAATCTGATCAGTTTAAGTGGTAGAAGGACACTGCAATATACCAACCAGGAAAATTACTTCAGCTAGGAACCTCTTTCCTTGGATGCAGACCTATTTCTTTGCCAAATGTATGCATCCTTTTCCCCAAAAGTGAAGTCCTGACCAGTAATCAAGTACAAGCTATATGCTGCATACCTTAGTAACAAGCAGCAGGAAAAAGCAAACCCTCAAGAGTGCACACAACTTCTGCTACAGGTTCTCTCTAACCAACCAACATCCATACAAGTCAGAAGTAATCCAGTATTAGCCATCTAGAAAGTGTCCTGATCCCAAACAGAACTAAACTTAATTAAAAGCAGAAAGACTGTTTTGGGAACACAAGATGTAAAACACAGTATCAGTCAAACCATTTATCAAGAGAGAGGATAAAGTAAAACCCTATGGTAAAGCCACCATAAGACAACTCCAAATAGAAGCTGATCAATTCTACTCGGATGTTTCCAGCTAACGAGCTGTGTGGCAGAAAGCCACTTTGGTTTCTCCCCAAAAATCTCTGCCCTGTGACACTGATTTAAATCTCTGTGCTGTGACCATTCAATTAGGGTGGGCCCAGCACACAGGGGACCACACCCTCAGCCTGTCTCTTTGGGGAACTGGAGCTGGCTGCATTCCTGAGGGAGGGGAAACCTGCTCCCTCTGCCTAGGTGACTTGCATCACTTACCTGGGTAAGGGGTTTCTACCTGGGGAGCTGGAATCTGCCCGGTAACAGGTGATGCATTTCAAATTGGTTGGCTGACAGCCAACTGGGGCTGACCTTCGCTGGCCCAGGTGAATGAGGTCACAGGGGCTATATAAGTTAGGACGGGGAAGGAAGTGGTCTCTCCTCTCTGGCCATGAGGTGACTCAGCAGCCAGGCAGGGGACAGAGAAGCCTTAACATCTGAAACTGGCT